TATATACAAAAATATTGATAAATTGCTTGATTTACCTGTCTTTAATTGCTTATTCTTGAACATCCTCTGAAGTTTGGCTGTGGTTATCAATTCCTTACCGCATGGGATATAGGCATTTTCCAGGCACTCTTCCAAATCGTGGAAATGCATTTCTCGCAAGCTTGTCCAGCACAGGACACGGAACTTATAACGTGTGTGTTTCATTCCAGATGTCAGCACTTTCATCTCTTTCTTCAGAAACTCTAACACCTTAAATAAGGATTTTTAAAATCTAAAAATTTAAACTGTAAACTTTGCAAAAATTTAAGAAAAAAAAAAATTATATGCAATGTTAGAGAAAAATCACCAAAAACGCTGGTTTCACAGTTTCAATTGTTAAATTTTATAATTTAATTGACTAGATATGCTCAAAAATAAAATACAACAATTAAACAGACAAAACATAGTGGTGGATCCAGAATTTTTCAAACAAAATTTTAAGAAAAAAATAATGCCATATTAGAAACGCACCACCAAAAAACGCTATGGTTTCAGGTTTTGAATTCTTAGATCTTATTATGGTTTAATTGATTTGATGCTCAACGACACAAACATACAATAGTGCTGTTGTTTTTGGCACCAGAATTATTGCTCTTTATATCATTACCGTCATTATTGTCATATTTAGCAGTGTAATCAATGACTGATGGTGAGCCATTAAAATAAAGTTACATTCAAATACTGTATATAATAATAATATTAGCTGTTCAGATCACAAAAAAAGCGTATTTGTAAATTTGCAAGATTTAATTATTTTTCTAGATTACCTGCATACAGACTCTAGGACTGGGTTCACCTGTTGGTGTCTTGGTACCATCCTCCTGAGTGATAGGCATCCGTAATATTTCCAACTAAAATACAAACATAAAATTAATAATTTGAATGTGAATGCCAATAAATGTTGTCAATGTCACATGTACAGTGCATATAATACAGTTTTATTGTGAAGGACTGCATCTCCCAAACCCCTCACCCGATTTACCTAAAATTTGAGATTTGGTGCTGTGAGATCACACTTAACAAGTACACTAAGTTAAACCCATTGGGTGATTTGACATGGAATGAACCTAATTTCAAAATGACTAAGTTAATTAGTTACTAAATGACACCACTTATTTTCTTACCTTCAATGAGGGCTTGTTATTAATGACTACTGGTCCTAAGCTGAGACTGTGTTCAAGTCCTAAGCGAATGTTTGCATAGTTGCTAAATAATTCCAGCATGGCTGTGTAGCCCATGTCTTGTACCATTCCAATCAAGCTGACAACTAGAGGATGGAAGACACTATCAGGGATGAAATCCTCAGAGGCCATATAGATAGATACCATCTGAGCTGTATCATGTTCAATAGACACATTGTCTTTGCTACGTTTCAATCGACAGGGTACAAAAAACGAGCGATATTTGCTTTCCTGATTCTTGGAGAAAACAAACAAATGAATTTAATTAAAAAGTAGAAAAATCACAGAAAAATATACATATTATCTTACCAGCTTTTTCAAAAAATCAAATGTTCTGCAATGTAAATAGCATGTAAGGTAGAGTAAGATTAACATTCTTAAAATAATTTAAACTAATTTTTTCCAAAAATAATTTGCTCAATTTCATTTTACAATGAAAAGATGGAATTACTGTAGTCACCATTTATGTATGCATTTCTTTGCTTTTTAAAAATTCAATATTTTTTAAAAAATAAATTCTTATTAGGATTGATTGTACTATGAATTAAGTTAGCTAAGGGGCATGCGATTAGGGATAAGATAGGAAAGGAAATAGACTCCATGATTAAAATGTCGTAGAACCTAGTAACAGTCTGTATGCTGCACCTCTTGTCATTGTAAAGAAACCTGATGGTTCTGATAGATATTGTGTCGATTACCGACAGTTAAATACTAAAACTGTGTTCGATGCCGAACCAGTTCCAGATCAGAATGAAATCTTTGCTCATCTTGTTCATGACAAATACTTTAGTCGACTTGACTTAACTAAAGGGTACTGGCAATTGCCGATGAAAGAATCTGTAAAGCATTTAACTGCATTTATTACCCATAGAGGGTTGTTTCAATTTAAAACAATGCCATTTGGCCTGGTTAATTCCGGTGCAAGTTTCAGTCGGGTAATGAGAAAATTATTGAAAGCTCTGCCATGTACTCATAATTATATAGATGATATTTTGGTACATACTAAAACCTTTGAAGAACACATGAAAATATTGCGCTTACTTTTTGGTCGATTGAGAAAGGCCGGATTTAAGGCAAAGCCATCTAAAAGCGAAATAGCCTGTTGTGAATTGAAGTTTTTGGGTCATATTGTCGGTAAGGGTGTTATGAAGCCACAGACGAGTAAAATTGAGGCCGTTAAGTGTGCGCCTAGACCCAAAACCAAATCACAAATGCGATCGTTTTTAGGATTAACTGGTTATTACCAATGTTTTATTCCTCATTATGCTACCATAGCTACACCGCTGACGAACTGTACTAAGAAAGGTGAACCCAATAAAATCAGATGGGGCACTAGCCAAGAGAAAGCTTATCAAATGCTTAAAGATAAGTTAGTGAGTAAGCCCATCCTACAGTTACCAAATTTAAAGACACCTTTCATTTTACGAACTGACGCAAGCGATGTAGGCATTGCAGCGGTGTTGATGCAAGAAAAGGATGGTTGTAAATTACCAGTAGCCTACATTAGTAAAAAGTTATCTGAATCTCAAAAGAAATATTCTGTAATTGAAAGAGAATGCTTGGCCATCATTTGGGCCATTTCTAAAATTGAGGCATATCTCTATGGTATTGAATTTATTATCGAAACTGATCATCAACCGTTAAAGTATTTGAAAACTAAAAAGATTGCTAATGGACGACTTATGAGATGGTCGCTGGCTCTGCAGCCATATCGTTTTCGTATTAGAGCCATTAAAGGCAGTGATAATCATGGCGCTGACTTTCTAAGTAGGTCCATTAAGAGTTAAGCTTGGAATGCAAGCGGAATGGACAATGCGATTATTTAATAGTCCCTGGATCTTTTGTGGATGTTGTCCATATAACATTTTTTTGTCTAGTTTAAAGAGAAAAAGTATTTTAGTTGTACTGTATTTGTAAAAATGAGTATGATTTGAATATGTCATGCCTGAATGCATTAAAACATTGTGAGGCGGCACGAGTAGTCTCTACTGTAGTGAGTACCATGTGGGAAGACGTGCGTGTCAAATATCACCAAGTAAACTACAGTGGTAGTTAATTGAGCGGTCGTGGATTCCGTTTTGGTTATGCATGCTAGTTGGGCTAGCATTGGTGAACTCCTATGAGA